TGTGAATACGATTCAACAGACGGTACTCATATTCGACATCGCGATTGGATGGTTTTGATAGTACAATCGGAGATACAAATATTGAATATACCCAATACATATAATACTAGTTATTTCACTCAGCTTCGCCCGCGTAGAATTTGGTTTGTTACTTTAAGTTTCGTGACAGACCATTTCTAACAAATAGTTACTATATTTTTTTATCAACACAAAACTTCATGATAATAAGACAAAAGTGTTTTTATTCATTTCATTAAAGTGATCATGAATTACCAAAAAATAAACAAGTCACCAATCACACTTTTCCCTATGGGGATAGACATTCCTGATTCCCTTCTACGATGCTTATTTACACTATACAAAGAACATGCATATTTCAAGATTCTAGAGTTAAGAAGAGTCAATCAATAGGTACCCACTTTAGTCCAGTCATTATAGTAAGTTCACCTCGGAATTCGAGATACCCAGCTGTTAGTCTGTAAATACTTGTATATTGACATCCTGAAAGTTGTCTGGAAACCTACATATAGTAGGGTGTACGTAACTATTGAATTTCAAGGTCAAAGGTCACAAAAATCGGTTTTTTGCGCTATGTTTGTAAATATCTCATTTCCTATGGGTTTTTTGCTATTTGTAATCATCTTCTTCCTCTTCATCGTCATCTTCCGATTGCTGGTTTCATTATCGTCTTCAACGACATTTGCCTCAAGTTCTTCCATGATTTCGTGGTAAAAGGTTCCATCTTTGTTAATGTCGCTCTTATATGTTAGAGCATTGAGACAAGCTTGCCCGTTACATTGGCCAAAAGTTAAAGAGCATTGCAAGCCCGCTTTCCTGCATCCGCATCGCGAACCACAACCACTCTTGCAGTTGCAGAAAATCGATTCAGCAAATCTTCTTGAGCAGGTGGTAAAATTGTCATGATAGGCTCCAGAAAATCGTTTCGCATTGCCCAACCCCATATCTGGGGTTCCAAATCATGCCCTAACCAAGTTTGAACTTGATAATATACACGGTTGAAATGTTGATGAGCAGCTGCACTTGTTGGTGGAATATTTGAAAGCTGCACAAGTTTATTGAGTTTTGTAGACTTGACGTAATGCATGTAACGAAGATGATCGAGACTTTTCACAGATTTCGGAGCATTATAGACTGCCAATAAGGTTTGAGTTCCACTCTCTAATAATCTCTGGGCCGAACAATTTTCTTCCTCAAATGCTGCAGCTAGTTCATCCAAATTTGTCAGTTTCTCAAAAACTTTTAAAAATGATTTTTTTCCCTTTTTAAAAAGCGCAGAAGTTGTGTCACAGCCACTTAATGCGTGCAGAAATAAAATATGTTTTTTAGAATGAGGATAATTATCAAAACTTTTAGTCGGGTATATCTTCATTATTACATTTCCTTTCCCAACTTTTTTAAAGAAAATTTATTATTCGTAAGACAGTGTACGCCCAATTATAATGACAAGTAAATCAATATCGTGTCCTATTATAACTGCAGTTTTTTCAGACTTTGATTCTTCAATTGCAGTTTAAACAATAAGAACATCAGCATCATCTCTGGCTTGTTTAGTAGTAATATTTGCAGCTTGTAATTTTTCAATTAACATATTGATGAGCATATCTTTGTTATTTCGACTTGATAAGAATTCTTGTTGAGTAACTGGTACAACCATTGTTCCATCGAAACATACTTCATACGTTTTTGAAAGTGCAGCAGTTCTTTTCTGCTGCTCCATAACTTTTACGTTTATACTGTAGTCTGAATATCCATCAAATACAACAATTATTTTTGAACTGTAATGTCTTTGTGAATAATTCATGTATTTATCAAAAATAATTGAAAAAGTATCTTCTCTGCTCCATACAACATGATGAAGAAGAAATCCGCCATCAATAATGAACGTCACATTATTTTCATTGAGAACAAAATCAATTGGGCTCATGTTGTCATATAATGACGATTCTGTTGTTTCTCTCATGCCATTATTATCAAATAGAGCTCTTCGATACGGACTCAATTCATATTAAAGGTTGACCTGAAGTGATTTTGTGACCGCGCGGTCTCCGCCCTCTATCTCGAAAACGGTTCACCGTATGAAAAAAATTTTCAAACAAAATTTGTAGAGAATTTTGTATCCTACACTATTGATGATGTATACAAATAGCAAAAAACCCATAGGAAATGACGATATTTACAAAAAAAGCGCAAAAAAACGATTTTTGTGACCTTTGACCTTGAAATTCAATAGTTACGTACACACCCTACCATATGTAGGTTTTCAGACAACTTTTAGAGTTTCAATATACAAGTATTTACAGACTTACAGCTGGGTATCTCGAATTCCGAGATTCTTACCTAATTTAAGCTTAAGTGACTGGAGTACTTATACAATATTGAATAGCATCAGAAGAAAGGATTAGAAAGAAATATATTGGTAATCCTACTAATCCTACTCCTACTATTATAAATGCGTAAAGTTTGTGAGGATGGATAAATGTGATATGAGTATTTATGTTTTTTACATTTTTACGACTCAACAGCTCAACGGATTCAATTGTGAGTTGGTATACAGGGTGTTTGAAATTCGATCCTCACTATTGGGATCTCGGAAACAATGAGAGGTACAAAGATGGTGAAATTGGGACGAAGCTGCACATTTACCTAAATAATAATATGCCGTTGAGAAAGTTCCAAAATTCCGAGAATATCCGGAGATATCCGAAAAAACAGAAATTTCAGAAAATGGTTTTTATTTTTTTCTGGTTTTACTTATCGAAGGATTCAAAAATAAATTGCACTTCCACACTGAAACTTTTTTCCTGCTACAAAACGGTGCTTTCAGATTTGCTATCCGACGTTTCGTCTTCCGGCCACCATCATCAACTTTATTTTTTCTCATAGGCGCTACATTGGATTCTTTTTGTTTTGAATAGAACCAGATTTCACCTTTCCAATGATGTATCATGAGTTATCTTTCTTTTTCGAAAAAATTGAGATATTGCAAACAATTTATTCTTATCATAATAAGCTTTGACTTTGATGTTTCTAAATTTGGCATTCAAAATTTTATACTCAATGACATTTTTGTTATTGTACAAGTCATTGAATTTTTAGCGAAAAATGGCATTCGCAAATGAAGAAAAAAGAGATATGATACAAATTTATTACGAACACGATAGAAATAGTGGACATCAGAAATGTATTTAAACTTGTATACCGAAAGACGGGAACCACATCGAACTATGTTCAAGTTATTGGATCAAAATCTCACCGAGATTTTGCCGAGGAAAAATTACAGAGACAGAATGGACCAAGAAACTAAAGAAAATTTGATAAATGAGGTATGTTTGAGATAAGTTAGACATTGTGTCCTCTTCAATAAAAATTGGGTTTTCAAACAAAGATTGTATTAAATTTCGTCAGTTTTGAAGTTGAAAATCATAAGTTTCGGGTTATTAAAAAATATTGTGACTATTTGTTAAAAATGGTCTGTCACGAAACATAATGTGATAAACCAAATTCTACGCTGGTGAAGCCGCGGGAAAAAGCTAGTAATTTATGTTTTTACTTTAAAAATACTTAAAAAATATGCCAACTATGAATAGCTTCGAGAATAGAATTGATTATGTTACCTATCAAAAAATTTCACAAAACTAACACAACCGTTAACGACGTCTGCCCTCATGCGTCTGCCCGCGTTCGAGTAGCGTTCTTGGCGATGGCGTTTCATAGCTTAAACCGCCTCTCTACCCCCGCGTATCGTCCTCCGTCGTCTTACAGTAGATGCGACGTGTAATGACTCACTATGTTGCGTCAAGTTGATCTTATCGTGATGATTTTTAATGATTCGTCCAAATTACTCAATGTGAAAGACTAAGTTTATCTATATCAAATTCTCAAAGCGATAAGTGTATACATTTTTATATTAATTCAACAGATATTCTTAAATATGCATTGTAAGAAAAGTATCCAGTTTGACTGTATTTATGGCTCAGTATTTTGCATTTGGTGGCTACCACATAAGAGGTAGATATATGCTATCACGGAATTTCATTCAGAATTATTTAAGATAAACAATCTCACGGTACATTATTTTCATGTAACTCCAACGGTATGGGCAGGGCACGCCAAGATAACTCTCAGGAAGCAAGAATTTTTCCGACTTACTTAATTCTTTTCGTTATATCATGACCAAAATTACAAACATTTGTAAATTGTAGCCTATATGTTATTCTGATGTATAAACTGTATTTATGTAAAGTTGCATTTGAATCCGTTCAGTCATTTAGGCGTGAAAGAGACACAAACATGCATACATACATTTATCCATCCTCACAAAACCTCTCATTTATATCAGTATAGATTTGGAGATAACATAAACCTAGGAGAACTAATGAAAGTTATGGCTATCTAAGCAAGCTTGTATGTGACAAGAGAGGGAGAGAGAGAGAGAGAGAGAGAGAGAGGGAGGGAGAGAGAGAGATATGTTTATGATGCGTTCTTGAAGGCACCTATAATAATGGTTATTCCTTAATTCAAGTATAAGTAGAAGCTAATGTTTGAGTCAACAAATGTGACATTAGATTAGAAAATAAAAGCACCTAAAGGCTGACTTTCAACTAAAGGTCAGATGTTAATCTTGCTGAAGTGCCCATCTGTAAGTTTAGTACCGCTCTGGAGGAGCGGAGGTGTATGGACGAGATGTGATCTTCTGCACACAGTTACCGTATGGAGAAGATTTCAACTCAGGGCACTCAACCCGGGAGGGGGCATGGGGGGATCAACAAATTTTCCAACTCTCTTTCGAATTTGAGTTTGTTTCTCATGTCTTTCAATGATTNCCAGCAACTTGGACTCTGCTTCAGACCTTAAAGGCTTCTTATTAGCTTGCAGACCAAGGAAGGATCACTACTTTCAAATCCTTCTGGTTGACACATGTAAATATTGTCTTGAAGATCTCCATTTAAAAATGCCGTCTTAACATCAAATTGTTTAATTTACATGTTTTCAGCTGCCGCCAGTGCAAGAATAATTCGTATTGAGTCATATCTAATAACAGAAGAAAACATTTCGTGGTAGTCGATTCCAGCTGTTTGTGAATAACCTTTAGCGCACAACCTTGCTTTGAATCTGAGAATAGTGCCGTCTGATTTATATTTGACTCTATAAACCCACTTGCAACCAATAGCGGTTTGATCTGTGGGCAGTTTCTCAAGACACCAGGTGTTGTTTTGTTCCAATGAGGTCATTTCTTCTTCCATAGCTTTTCTCCATTCTGTTTTGAAAGCACTAGACATTGCTTCTGAATACGTTTTTGGTTCATCGATGACAGCTGCCATTGCTATGTCATAATTTTCACGATATCTTAATGGTATATTGATGGAGGCTCGATTTCGAAGTCGAATACTGGATGGATTTTCTGTCGATTCATTATCAATGATTGAATCGTCCTGCTCGTGATCTTAATGAAAATCTGTTTCCATTTCATTGCGTTCTGCTGCAGGGTTCATACTGCCTCTTCCTTGAAGTTCTAGGTATCCATATTTGGGGCCGTTTGTTGCGACTATATCTTCGTTGAAGTTAACATTTCGCATAATTGAAATTTTCTTCGATTGGGGATCAAGAAGTCTATAATTAGAACTGTAAGCATCATACCCAACAAATATCATTTTCTTTGATTTCGGTTCGAGTTTGTTCCTGAATCTGTTAGGAATGTGTGCATATGCCTCAACCCCAAATTTCTTCAAATGACTTAGATCCAACGCTTTTCCTGACCATTTTTCGTAGGGTGTTTCATTGCCTGTTTTCTTACAAAGTCGACGGTTCAGAGTGTAAACTGATGTGTTGACTGCTTAAGCCCAAAGTTCGTCTGATAATTCAGAATTTGCAAGCATAGCTCTGGCACTTTCGACTACTGTTCTCATATCCCTTTCAACTGTACCATTTTGTTCAGAATTATATGCGGAGCTTCTTTCATGGATAATTCCTCTCCTTTGTAAATAATTTTTGAATTGTTGGTTAATATATTCTGCTCCATTATCTGTCCGGAGTATTTTCATTTTACTCTCACTTTTTCTTTCGAGCATTCTCTCAAATTCGAGGAATTTAGAATACACATCACTTTTGTGTTTTATGAAATACACCCAGCGATATGAGGTATTCTCATCTTTGAACAGAACGAAGTAATCAGCTCCACCAATGGATATACAAGGCATCTTTCCACTTACATCGGAATGTATATATTCTCCGGGTCTAATAGCTCGTTCATTGATACTGGCTTTGAATGGTTTTCGAGATTGCTTCCCAAATTGGCAGGATTTGCAGAACAAACCTTCTGTACTAGCTATTTTCAGTCCTGGGATTCGACCTACATCGGCCATTTCCTTCAAAGTTTGGAAATTAATGTGGCCTTTACTTTCATGACATAACATAACTGAATTGGGTATGCTTGCTACATTGGCTTGGCTTTCTATAGGGTTTTCAAATAACATTTTGGAGCAATGATTATACTGTTTTCTTCCAACTGCCACTAACTTTGTATAGTTATAAATTTCGATCTTATCACTTTTAAAAATAATGACACTTTTTCGCAAAATAAACTTGTGCAAAACTTATTTACAGGATTTCTCAGAACACAGTTACGTGTACTGGGCCCATAACCTTTTGGATTTAGCAGAAATACAAAAGTTTTGCAATTGAAAAATCAGTTGAAACTACTTCTCAAACTTCTTGTTTTATTTATATACCGACATGAATACAAATGAAAAAAGTATATCGTGGCAAGACTCAAGCTCGAATCAAAGATTTCTGGTTTTTGAGCAAATACTCGTCGCATTGAGATATCAAGGATATCTGCTCAACAGATGCGATAAGTTGACGCCGCGTTATTGGAACGTATTTTTATTCTGTGCAAACATCTTTCTAGACTGTTCATTTTGGATTCCCGAATATTGATGTAAAACGTTTATCATTTCGATTTCTCTGAAATACCGGCTCCATATATGGCATCACCTCTCAAATAATAACTCTTCATGTAACCACGATTATGATTTCTCGCCTATAAGCTTCTAATCAGTCACCTAATTCCTCTATATCTTACCTTACGATCTCTCCAGCCAACAAGCGGTGGAAAACATATGACAAAACTGAGGATCCAGACTCCTGCAATCAAGCCTTTTGCTCGAGAGTGGGACATTATGCTTGGGTATGTTATCGGTCTAGTGACGGCAACGTAACGGTCGAGTGAGATCGCACAAAGGTTTAGAATGGATGCTGTACACATCCAAACGTCCACAGCCAACCACACTTGGCACCATACGTTTCCAAATATCCAGACCTGGAAAAGCAATATGTGAGAAACTACCCTGATAGAGTTGCGTTTTTCATTGTCAATCTTTTCAATAAAATAACTATTACTTTCATAAATATGTTAGAAATCATGTTGTCAAATGAGACAGAATGTGAAGTTATGCTCGAATATCCCCATTCATACTTGCTGAAACATACCGTTATATTGGTTTCAAGTCAAACAGCGAACAGTAGAGGTGAATTTTTCTATTGTCAAGGGGAAACTGTGGTTTTCCAGTTCCTCATCGATCTATAACAAGTGAGGAACTTCCAGTTGGAAATGAATAGAAAATTGAGAACAAAAAAAATACAAATCCATGATGTTTAGATCTTACACAGATACAACCTATCCAATTACTATTTAATATATCGTTTTATCAAATTATAAATGTATTCAAATTAATAATTTTTTGAGTATATTATGTATTTGTTGAACCATTTTGCGGAGGTTTTTTCCGGAAAATTGGCCGCAAAAAACACATTTTAGATGGGCTGGAAACTTCGTGGGCGACACACAGATAGCGCTACTGGTATAGAATCTGTACTATTTTCAGTTAACTCAGCCAGGCTTTCGACAACTGTATTACTCATCTAATACTTCTTCAGAAACTTGAATATTACAGAATACGCGGAACAGCTTACGAATTCTTCTCCTTCTACCTAACCAACAGATTCCAGACAGTGCAATACCAGGGTTCTCAATCAGACTTCCGAATCATCAAACATGGGGTACCCCAAGGTTTTGTATAAGGTCCGCTCATTTTATATATTGATGACCTATCGCAAAACTTGTCAGCGTCATCATGCATGCTGTTTGCAAATGATGTTACCATATACAAATCTAAGCCAGTATGGCCAGGAATACAGACCAGAGAAAATCTGTTAAGTTTTTCTATCGAGGAGAGTCGTTTTCGGCAATTTGCCACCAATTTAGACAATGCTCGGTGCGAGCCAATAGCTTCCAACGTCGCTTGACTGTCCCAGAATAGTTTCATCAACTTGTGTATGAGGTTGGATTCTTCCAATCCCTCCGCACATAATTCAAAAGCGTAAATTTCCGCTTAAAATACAGTCGCATAGCTCCTAGGCAGGTTGATATCTCTATCCTGGGTCTGCAACTGAAAACACCTTCACCAAAACGGGAAGCTGTTTTTGATCCATCTGTGAACCAGCAACTATCTGCTCTCAATATTTTCTTCTCCCGGAGGATCCAGTCCTCTCTATTCAAGCAAAGTACTTCATAAGGCAATTCATAGTTAATAGTTGGAGGCATAAAGTCAGAGGTCATTTCCAGTATGCTGTGACTTCCAGTGTCAACCAACAGTCTGTTGCACTCTGTATTAGATTGATTTGTGCAATTGGCAGTCTAGTCTCTCTCTCCAGAAAAATGTGGAGAGGAGGTAGATCTAGAAAGATCTTCATAGCCGCTGATGATGTGGTACTAATGGCACCACTGATGGCCAGACAAGCCTGTCTCTGTAAGCTAGAAAGCTTCGCCTGGGCCGTTATCTGTAAAGACTTCGGTAACCAGGCAATTGCACCACGAGTGATTATTGGTCTGACAATCATCATATAAATCCAATGGATTTGTTTGGTACCTAAACCCCAAATCCTACGACATGTTCATAGGAAAAGTCTGGCTTTGTGCAAAACTGTTTCCTAGTGAGCGTTCGTTAGGCCGTATTTGAGATTAACGCACAAAACCCCCAGACAAACAGACCAGAATTATCAAAAGAATTGCACTATTGAAGACCCTCAATTGTAGTTTTTCCCAAATATCTCTCATATACTCGTACATATAGCGGAATTACACTTTTATAATAAATTGCGGACATAAATAATTCCCCCTTTCAACCCTCAATTATAGTTTTTTCTAAATATCTCTCATATACTCCTACATATAGCAGCGTTACACTTTTATTATAAATTGCGGACATGAGTAATCCCCCCTTTCAACCTCTGTACAGAACAAGATATCAAAGATCTGACAAAACTACCGTAAGAAGATATAGTTTTTGGTTCATTTTGATAAGGAAGAAAATAGTGCTACCAAGAGAGCGCTACCCACTTAATTTTTCAAATAAAAAGAAGATTTTGTAGTAACTAGTTCAATATGTATTCCAATTCTCTATCCAATACTTTTCAACTGTTGAAAATTCAGTTGGTCGTTCCCGAATAATCAGCAGTTTCATTTCCGTTTGAACAATCTCCAAAACTTCAAATGTGTGCTTTAGACCACACAACTAGTAAAACTTTTCAGCTCCATCTATACACATGTATATACACATGGGGGAGACCGGGATTGGAAGTCACATCTTTTGACATGAATTATCAATGATATTTTTTTATCAATAAATGACATTTTTATAATATTTTTCCTCCAATATCATCCATAGAGGAAATATAACAATTCTTATGACAAAAATAAAGTGACTTTTAATCCCAGGCCGAGGATAGTTGTCAAAGCATCTGGGGAAAGTATAATCACATAAGTAATTAAAAGGTAAACAACATTCAAATGAAATTTTTTATTCAAAGTGAAATAAAATACATAATTATTTATATCCCAGAAGAGAAAAAAATGTCATATTCGTAGGAAAAAAACATATTTGCTCCAAATAAATAACTTCCATTTGGTAACTTCAATACCTAAAATATAGTTCAATCAGGTCGCAATGTAAATTAAAAATACTCATCCTAGCGAAATCATATATGGTCACTCTAAAATTCACTGACTATCCGAAATCACAATTATGGCAAATGTAACGCTATTTTTCGAATATTTTTAAAAGTATGTATTTTCCTAATTCTTTCTTCTATTTGCCTATATCTTTCATAACCAATTTCTGTTGATGGTATTGATAACAACTTATGATAACAACGTGTGAATCTTTTAAAAAACCGCGTCTGAGTGCGATAATAATTAAACCCAAATTCACTTCTCTTGCAGCACACAGTATAACTGCGTGTAATACTAGTCGATCATGATCAA